GCCCATACACAACTTACCTTAAGTAGTAACAAGGAACACCTGAGGATATTTACAGCAAATGATCAGAAAGAGTCTGAACCTCCCAGGGGCCCTGACGTTTTCCTATTTTTCCCAACACCCACCCACATTGGGGGTGGGGGAATCTGCTTTACTGAGTCCACCGATTCAAATGCTAATCTCTTTAGGAAACACCCTTACAGGCAATAATAGTGTTATAGAAATAGTGTTTAATCTGGGCACCCCATGGCCAGCACGCTGACACATAAAATTAACTATCAAACGTGCTTATTCTAGACAATTTGGGAAATATAGAAAAGAACAGAGAAGGAAAATCAGTCACCCTTAATTACCCACCCTAGCCATGAGCACACATGAGTTTATTCCTAAAGAAGGGTGAGAGGGGGCACCCGCAGATTCAAGTGTAAGGTCCTGGAAAATGGCTATTGGCACTCCCTGTATTTGTGTAAAAAATGTCCTGGCATTTTTGTGTTTTCTTTCAACAGTCAAATGAGAGTAAGGCTGGGGACCTGATCTTTTTGAGTCTTAGGATGAACTTGGAAGATAAAATTGAAGTATAATTTGAGACACATGTATATGTTGTATTTTAGATATTCCTTCTCTGCCTGGGAACAACCATTTTGCTTCAAATTGGAAGCTGTTTCCTGTATTTTGCTGTTGCTTTCAGCCAAAGGACCCAGCTGGGTGTCAGAATAGCCCACCCAGCATGGTGTTAAGTGTGAGAGGCTGACAACCATTTTGCTTCAAATTGGAAGCTGTTTCCTGTATTTTGCTGTTGCTTTCGGCCAAAGGACCCAGCTGGGTGTCAGAATAGCCCACCCAGCATGGTGTTAAGTGTGAGAGGCTTAAAGGCAAAGGAGGTTTAATACTCAGCTAATACAATGTAGCAGGTGAGAGTGTGGCATTCCCTTCCAGCCCTGCCATTTCCTAAAGCCATGACTAAGTCGCTGAACCTTGATGTATCAGTTTCCCCATCCGTGAAATGGGTGTACGAATAGCTCATAGTGTTGTTAGACACATGTGTTTGAGTACTTGGAACAGTGCCCAGCTCACAGTAAACAGTCGAAGTGTTAGTTTTTAGGACTTCTAGGACCCACTTGTTGTTTACAAGGCTGGTGTGTGTGGACCCAGAGCCAACACAGGATCTAGAGTCCGTGTCTTTGTGACTTTAAATGACTTGAGTGCATGCTAACACTCTCCGTGTCTGTATTTGTCACCTAGCAGCCAGGAGGAAGAGGAGGAGGAGGCCGCCTCAAGGTACTATGTCCCCAGCTACGAGGAAGTGATGAACACCAACTACTCAGAAGCAAGGGAGCTGGACCAGAACCCGAGGATGAGCATCTCTCTCCCCTCCTATGAGTCGCTGACGGGGCTCGATGAGACGAGCCCCCCGACCACCAGGGTCGACGTGGAGAACAGCCCGGGCAGTCCACCCGAGAGACAGAACTCCAAGTTGGCCAAACGGCTGAAGCCACTGAAAGTTCGAAGGATTAAATCCGAAAAGCTTCACCTCAAAGACTTTAGGATCAACCTCCCAGACAAAAATGTCCCACCTCCCTCCATCGAGCCTTTGACTCCTCCACCACAGTATGACGAAGTCCGGGAGAAGGCCCCTGACACCCGGCCACCCGACTGAAGGGCCCCTCTTGGAGCCACATTCCCACCTGTCTCTCACGTGCCCCGCACCAACAGACAATTACGAAGTCACCCCAGCCACAGTTGAGAAGTACAGGGGCCAGATGCGCACTTAGCGATGTGGATGGGGGGGAGGTGGGACTCTGTGTATCGGGAGTGACTGTGATGTTCCACAGAGCCTCATGCAGCAGGTGTATGGGAAAGAGATGGTGCCTTGGAGCTCACGATTCTGGGGACCACATCAAGGGGTGTGGCCCAGGCATCTGCCCCATCTTCCTTCCTCGACTCTGAACTGCTGGCCACACGCTCCTTCCAGCTAGGAATGAATAGCCAGCCACTGGGTTAGGTTGTGGTTGTTCTGTTTTGCTTCCACTAGGACTGTTTGGTTTCAAAAAGAAAACTTTTGCATTTGCTCCCTCCACTGCAGTCCTGAACTGCGGGTAGGAAATAGGACTCAGCTTTGCAGCAAGACCACAAGGCCGTTTTGTAGAGTAAGCAGGGACGACGTGGGGGTAAGGCCCAGGCGGTGGCTCTCTGAGCCCCAATGCTGTCGATCTTTGAGGGCCTAAGGCCTGATGAACTTCAGCACATGATGCATAAGAAAATAGTCTTAATTGGTATACTTTACTCGTCTTTTCTGTGTAACGGCAAAAAAGGTAAACCATAGGAGACGTCCTTCTATTCTAAAATGCCGCACAACTGAGCTTTTTTACAATAAAATATTTTATATTCAGTGCACTTGGGTGCTGAATTGCTTTACCAGTTCTTTCAATACTGACTGGCTCAGGGAGAAATATCAATATTCATAGCTACTATGTACCAGACACTTAATACGTGCCAAGCATTGTGCTAAGCATTTCACATGTGTGTCCCATGTTATCTGGACTCATCCCTGGTGTTACTGCCATTCTGTAGGTAGTGCATGGAGGCTTAGGTTAATTAAAGTGCCCTATGTCACACTGCTAGTAAGTGGCAGAGCTGGGATTTGAGCCCAGGCTGTCTAGCTCCAGGGCCTGAGTTCTTAAACACTCCACTGTACAGGTCACATAAAGAGTTTTTCCAGACTTTGATTAAGGACTTGTCCTTCTCAAGACCAGAGGTAACTCATGTGCCCAATAGAAAGTCCTGGTTGTCTACACAGCAGCTGTCTACATGTCTAAGCATCCTTCCTATGTCTCTCCTGAGAACTGGCCCAGGAGACAGCCCAGTACAGCCTGTCATCCACTACCAGAACTGACAGGCTGTGTGAGCTTGTGGGGTGGGTGAGTGTGTCCTCCCGGAGTGGGGACTACCTGTGCAGACCAGGAAAGCAACTCAGCTAATGAGAAATGCCCAGAGGATTGCAGACTTCTGAGGATGGGACAACAGAGGGGAACAGAGACCTCTGGGGTCAGGGTCCTGACTGTGGAGTGGGGGTCTGGGGAGACAAACCTGAGTTCAAAGGAAGACTTCCTGGTACTGGCGAGCATGGTGCAGGCCTGCTGGGCAGTCTGTGTGGCGAGGAGCTCGGCTGAAAGAGTAAATTCTCTGGCCCTGGATGTTACCTCACAATCCAGAGGATTGGAGAGGGAAGGGACATGGTTAGGAAGTGAATCACCTTATCTCAAGTTTGGCAGAGGTGACTAAAGTTCCAAACTTTCACTTTCCTTATGCAAATACATTATAAAAAGGGGAGAAGCTGGATTGGCCTTGTGGCACGGAACGCCCAGAGACCTGTCCGTTCCCCGGCCCACTTCTGAGCCAACCAGCAGATCTTCATGTCTCACGTGTCTGGGCTGGGCTTGTCCTCCCATTACTCTCTAGGCTTCTCCCTGACTAGAGGAAAAACAGGAAGAAAAATAAAAGAGGGGAATTCCAAGGTTCCAGAAACGTCCAGAAATAACTTTCTGGAAGGGATCTCAATCTGACTTCCGGTAGATACCTTTTGGGGTGTGTGCCCAGCATAGACCCTCCTTGGAGGAGAAGGTGGTTTGGGGCATGTAGTGGGCTGAATGGTGGCCCCCAACAATATCAGACCCTAATCCCTGGAACCTGTATTACCTGATATGCTAAAGCTTTTGCAGATGTGATTATGTGAAGGGTTTGAGATGAGATTATCCCAGATTATCCAAGCGGGCCCTAAATGCCAAACACATGGTCCTTGAAAGCAAGAGATGCTGGGCCGGCCCACGGCTCACTCGGGAGAGTGTGGTGCTGATAACACCAAGGCCACGGGTTCGGATCCCATATAGGGATGGCCGGTTAGCTCACTGGTTGAGCGTGGTGCTGACAACACCAAGCCAAGGGTTAAGATCCCCTTACCAGCCATCTTTAAAAAAAAAAAAAACGAGATGCAAAGATATATACACAGAAGAGGAGGGAGCAGTGTGACCACGAAGGCAGAGGTGGAGTGACGTAGCCGCAAGCCAAGGAATGCCAGCAGCCACCAGAAGCCAGAAGATGCGAGGGACAGATTCTTCCCCAGAGCCTCTGAATGGTGCACGGCCCTGCTGACACCTTGATTTCATCCCAGTTGATACCGATTTTGGACATCTGGCCTCCAGAACTGTGAGAGAATAAGTTTCTTTTGTTCTAGGCTCCAAGTTTGTGATAATTTGTTATAGCAGCCACAGGAACACTTCATGACTCTTCCTATAGGCAGGAGTGCTATGGATATAGCATTTATGAACCCTGCTTGTTGTGTATATGTGGAAATGATCCAGGAGAAAATTATTCATATTACTCAGATACTCTATAATGGGTATTTGGTTTATACAATACAGAGCAATAGGTTCACCTCTTTCTAAAACGAAGGCAGACGGAACGTAGGCTGGAAATGTTAACCATAGGTTGGAGTCCTGAATTGTGCCTAGAGACGTAAGGAAGTTATCTGCAATACTATGTTAAAATCACCTGTCAAAGCACCTCAAAATTCCTCAGGGCACACTTGCCTGTTGCTCATTGGTTTTTGTTTGCTTATTGGTTCAGACCTACCATTATCATCCTCAGGGATCTTTGTCTTCTGCCTGCCAAAAAAAAAACGAAGAAAAAAGAAGGCAGAGATAGGGGAGAAAATGCACAAAGCCATCCATCTATTCTTGGGCCCTAAATGGCCCCAGAACTGTGAAAGAGCAGAGAGAAAAAATCTGAATTAAGGTTTTTTAAAGTCCTACCCAGCACTCCCACCCCACTCAGGACAAATCTCAGCAACCATTGAAGGCAGACGGAACGTAGGCTGGAAATGTTAACCATAGGTTGGAGTCCTGAATTGTGCCTAGAGACTTAAGGAAGTTATCTGCAATACTATGTTAAAATCACCTGTCAAAGCACCTCAAAATTCCTCAGGGCACACTTGCCTGTTGCTCATTGGTTTTTGTTTGCTTATTGGTTCAGACCTACCATTATCATCCTCAGGGATCTTTGTCTTCTGCCTGCCAAAAAAAACGAAGAAAAAAGAAGGCAGAGATAGGGGAGAAAATGCACAAAGCCATCCATCTGTTCTTGGGCCCTAAATGGCCCCAGAACTGTGAAAGAGCAGAGAGAAAAAATCTGAACTAAGGTTTTTTAAAGTCCTACCCAGCACTCCCACCCCACTCAGGACAAATCTCAGCAACCATGTTGCTGTCATGTGACCTCCATGCTCTCAAGTCACAGCTGATTGGACCTGAGGTAGGGCCCATGTGACCCCAGGAGAACCAATCAGAAGCTGAGCTGGGCTAGGCAAGTCTCTCCCAGGAATTTGGTCCCGGAATCAAGAGGCCAGTTAGGTGATATCTCAAGGATTTGGGGGCCATCATGATGGGTCACAGGTGAGAGAAACAGGGGAAGCTTCTCTGCAGAGTGAGAATGAAGCTAACTGCTGAAAGAGGCAGCCATGAAAAACGAGCCTCAGAGATGCCTGCCCCTCGTGACTTTCTGGTCCTTGGTCCCTGTCCCTTGATCCCAGCTGTACTTCTGCCTGCTGGATCCATAACAGATGCTGTGTCTTCCCAGTAAATCCCCCTTCTAGCTTTGATCCTCAATTTAGCTGAAGCTCTTGAAGATGGGTCTACCTTTACCTTGTCCACGGTGCTGGGCCCGTAGCTGATACTCCACCTGTACTCAGTTTGACTTCCATTTTCTCAGATTGGTCACAGCTCTGGAAAAGGGGTGTCACGGCCGGTGATCAGGGCAAAAGATTGCGTTAGAGCATGACTATGACTGCAATGTAGAGCTTTGCCTGGTGCGTGCGGCTGAACCAGCTGGATCCATCCATTCCACAAATACCTATTGAGCTCCTATCACATGCCAGGCACTGGTCTAGGCTCCGGGACACAGCAGTGAAGCTAAAGCCCTGCTCTCCATGAGGGGGGTTCTTGCTCGGGCACTATTTCCCAAAATGGGTCCTGCGGCCTTGGGTGGAAATCACTCTTGGGTGATCGTTCTCGCCTGAATACTTGAACTGGGTACAATAAATTTGAAAGCTGCAGCGTAGCCCTGTGTACAGACAGCTGGTCTACAAGAAGAGATGGATGATGCCCAAAGTCACAGAGGAAACAGCCCTGCACAGAAAGAGACAGATCAGCTGCTTCGCATGTTCTGATTCTGGGTTCGCCTTTTAGCCCGGCCCTTTGGGTCTATGCGATGCCCCAGTCTGCTTTCAAGAAAGCCTGTCTTTGCTTAAGCAAGTTGGAGGGGGTTTCTGTTACTTGATGCCAAATGTCCTGGGATATCTCAGTTCTGTATGGACAAGCATGAGATAGCAAAGCAAAAATAAATCTGAAGTGTGACATGATACTGAAAATGGGACACAGCTGGACTACTAGAGATGGATGGATCAATTGAACCACAGGCTCTAAAGGAGTATGCAAAGAGCCCTTCTGAGGCTTAATGGATCATCTCCTGTCCTAAAGGCCCTGATAAGGATCATTTAGCTCCCAGGACAAATCGTGCTGAGTATCCACATGCAGAGTTATGAAAAGACAACGCTGTTCTGTCTGGGAGCATGGAGGGGTGGGAAGGGAAGAGCTTTCCATCTGAGCCTCCATCTCCTCACCAGCAAAATGGAGGTTACTACTTTTGCAGTAGTATCTGAGGCCAACAGGTAAAGTACCCACACTGTTCCTGGCACAGAGAAGCCAGGGGCATGTGGTGGCTGTGGCTGGACCATAGTCTCTTGATGGAGAATGGGCCCAGGCTCTCAGCACATCTCCAGGCGTGAGCCTCACACTCATTTCTGAAAGCGTGTTTTAAGAAAATTCACCAGGCACCCTGAGCATGCTGAGGAATGGTAGGTATGATCCCTGAGGATGATAAAGCCAGCTTCAGGAAAACAGCAGCAGGGCACATCATTAAGGCCAGTTGAGGCAGCCCCAGGGTCAGCCTGGCCCAGGGCTCGGTTCCTCAGTTCACGTGATGGTAACTCCTATCACAGATAGTGGGTAAATCAGTCCACTTTGTTTGATTTTCAATCTAATGCCATGTTGTCAGTACACTCAGGATCAAGCGGCTCGTACTGAAAAATCTTAGGAGGCCACAGCTGTCAGGATTTGAAGACCCTCTTCCCTGGTGATTCCTTGAGTGTGGTCCCCTTCAATTTA